AAAAGAATATAATCCATTTGAAAGTGAGGAGGAAGATGAACAAAGCAATGGAGCACCTGGCAGTACTTCAAACCCTTTTGAAGAGGATGAAAATCCATTTCAAAAGCCTGGTGGGGGCAGTTGGAATTCAGGGAATCCATTTGAAGAGGGATCCTCTACTAATCCCTTTGAAGTGGAGGATGGCAGTGAGATCTCTGGAGAGGAGGTTATAGAGGAGGAGCTGCTTCTCCAACAGATAGATAATATCAAAGCTTATATATTTGATGCCAAACATAGTGGACGACTGGATGAGGTGGAGGTACTGACAGAGAACTTAAAGGAACTGAAGCACACATTAGCAAAGCAGAAGGAGAAATCCAACTGCTGAAGCAGCCATAGAGCTGTATAATAATTGTCTGCTCTTAAATATGGGAAGGTAAGGCAGGTACTTATAGACAGGAGTACAGATCACAAGAGGGAAGTGGGAGAATCCTAACCTTAAAGCACTTTCATTTAGGAATTGCCACTACTACACAGCCTTGAAGCAAGAATGTCTGAGGTATGCTGCTGGTTCTAAAGGCTTACACTAAGGAAATTTAAAATAACTAACTGGTCTTACTGAATGCTTATTTTGGTCAAAGAGGTTAAGTGCTAATAGGGAACTATGATTTGGAAGTGGTTGGAATGTTGGTTTGCCTTCTTTCCCCCCTTTCTGTTGTAGTGTTGTCCTTTCCTCTATTGATAACCCAGGGTAGCTGAATTGCTAGTGGTGTTCTGGGAAAGTGCAGTTAAAAAGCTGCTGTGATTCTCCACTGTGCCGTATGTACAGGCTTGCAGATCAAGCTTGTGCAATGCTAATAAGTACATAAAAGGGATTTTAAGACTGAAAAGAACTTTCTGACTGACCTTAATAGGACTAACTTTTTAATGTGTGCATAAAGATTCCTAAGGAAAATTTGAGTGCTGTCTTTTCATCACTTCTGGTTTCCCCTTTGTGTCGTAGTGCTATGCTGTCTTCAGACCTGCTCTTGAGGGAGCAAGTGACTGCTCATTTCCAGGGAAAGGAGCATCAGGCCAGCACCACTTCAAAGTATAGTATATAAAGGGTGACTCTCCAATTCCTAGTTATATTATGGAATCTATACATTCCTTGCAGTCCTCTGGGTGACAGAATGATCATGTTTGTTGTATTTGTGAGACTGGAACCCTTTTTTTTTAGCATTCAAGGAACAAAAGATCTTTTTTATAATGGAAAGCTGAGGTGCCACTGAACTGGAATTCCATGAAAGCTAGGAGATAAAAGTCTGTGGTGCAATAGTACCAAATGACAATTCTCTTTCATGTTATATTCCCCTTGGGAATTTTTATGAGAATCAGGCATGTCTGTCTTTAATAAGGAACTTTAGACTGAAGACTTCTTGTCATCCTGTGGCCTGGGGGATGACCAGGTGACAGCCAGCACCTGTGCTGCAGGAGGGCTTACAGCTGGGCAAATGCAGGGTCACCTCAGGACTAGGTTAGCCTCTGTCTTTGAGAAAGATGGAGTTTGAGCTGCTTTGATTTTTATCTTTGAAAGGCACAGATCCATCCATCATCAGGAATCAGTGTTTGTAGGGGTGGAGAGGAGGAGTCAGTCTAAAGGGTTTCTTTATTTAAAGCTGAAATAGAGAAAAATCAGGCAGATCACACTGTACAGCACTAATAGCAGTGGGCTTACTCAGAAGTGTGAAGTTCTCTGGAATGGGACATGTCTTGTAACTATGTCTCAGATATTGGCATAGCTGTAACCCAGGCACTGCATGAGATTTGAGACACAAATGATTCTGCTACCTAAAGAGCAGGAACTCTGGTTTTATTTTGGTGTAAATAAGTGGAGGTAGGGACTTGTGGAATAGTTAAAAAAGCCCAAACCACCTAGATCCTCACTTAATAGCACTGGTCAAGGATCAAAATAAAGCAGCCAGTCAAGGACAGCTGATGTTCTCTCTAGTTTAGCCTGAATCTGGAGTTGAAAGGTGAATGGAACAGGTTGGCTTAAGGCCATGAAGTTTTTATGCTGATGTTTTATTAGAGCTGAGTTGAGTCCACGAATGTTACTTTGCACCAAGTGCAAAAAAACCTAGAGAATTCTGAAAGGTCTTAAACGAACAGAACTTGTGTGCTTGGCACCAGATTTATGAAGGCAGCAAAAGCTGTTAATAAACATAATCCCTGGAACTGTATAGTATAAGGCAGTTATTTAGGACAGACTTGTTTGTTATTTGGGAGGATTGCTCCCTGAACTCTAACCTAATGCTTTCTTTGATATCAACATGAAAAAATGTTTCAGTGGCTTCTGCTTTCACATTAAAAAGCGACTTTTTTCCTTGTTGCAACTATCCTGCCTTGTTTGTATTTTCTGCCTAATACACTAATAACTATTCTTACTGTATGTGTAATATATTATTTTTACAAGCAGGTAACAGACTAGCATACCTCATGATCTTTGTCAGTGTTAAATATGATAAACTAGATAGCTGATACTAAACTCATCTCCACGGTGCAGGTCTTTGCTGGCATTGGGACTGCTGTGAGGCTTGCAAGGCACAAGGGAATGAAGACGTCTTAAGCATAAAGCTCAATAAATAACTAGCACTGAGTTTTGGTACAGCTGCATGCACTACTCTGTACGGAAACTTTGTAAACAGAGATGAAATAAAACAACATGTTTATTTTGTGCTGTGTTTGTCCTTGACAATTTGTACAGGGTGCCTGAATCGGTGTGAAATTTTGTACTCGAGCACGGGTTCCAAAATGCACAGATAAGCCTGATGTACAGGTCTGTGCAATAGAGTGCAATCTATCACATTTATACAAATTACAGGTGTTGTGTATTGTTTGGTGAGGCAGAAGCTCTGATGATTTAGAAGGGTTTTTTGACCATGTGCAGGGAGGACGTTTGATGTAAGAGGAGTTAAATAGCAGCACAGGACTCAGAAGCACAATGGACTTGCTGGCTGGGATTTGCTGGAAGTTGGTCATTCAAGACACAGTTCTTCCTTGTGTGCACTGTTTAGGAAATGATGGAATTCTGTGCTGCTTCTAAAATCAATTGTTAGTTTAGCCTCTCTATCCTAAAGAAAACATGGTATTGGTTTTGCCATAATGGTTTAATTGTTTACCTGCAGGCAGGAGTAGGAAATAAGGCTCTAAGTAATTCCATTTTCCACTGTTGACTACTACTTTGTAAAACTGGCACCAAAAAAGCTGTGGTTTTAACTTTTATTTATTTTTCACTTGAATTATTCGAGTTGTGGCTGCAAGAAGATTTATGAGGCAGGGTTGTCTGTACTGAATGAACTTGCCTGTTCCTGTTTCCAGGACCTGTGAGCTCTTGTGTCTCACTGAAGCACCTTCATCATCCAGCCCTGAGGAAAAACAGCTGCATGACTTGTCAGGCTGATGCTTCATTTTTCATAGCAGCTTTGTATTTTCCCCTCATCTCTTTGGGCAGTGGCACAAAAGCAGGGCAGGGAACTTGGCCTTCAATCTCACACATGCATTCTCGCAGATGATACTTCTTGGGCCCAAAAATTGCTGGATGTGATAGTTTTTTCCTTTCTCTTTCCTCTTTTTCAAGCGTTTCTCTAGAAAAGAGATCTGTTTATTACTATCAGAAGCCTCAATCACAGCTCTTCCTCTCCTTTCCCTGGACCTAGTTTACCAGAAAGACAGATTTATAGTTCTTAGCTTGTGAACTTTACCTAGTTCTTGCCAATTTTGTCTGGGAATAGTAGTATTTCCTTCTGTATTCCTGACAAAAATTTGCAAGCTTTATATTCTGTATGCTAGACAGTATGTTAGCTTATTACGTGTTACTTACTTGCTTTTCCCCAGGATTTTTTTAATGTGCGCTGTTATCTCTTTGTTGGTTTTATCTTCCACGTCAACCAAAACTTGTTCTCCGTTGTCTGTCAAGAAAAATTCATAATCCTGTATTTAATAGTACCAGTTCCCTCCCACACACTGTTCAGAGAGGCTGTAAATACACAACAGAGAGACCTGCTGCCCTGCTGCAGTTAACGTACGATGCAAGGTTTAAGTGGAAAAGCGAAATTTCCACGAGGGCGATTCTAGGGGAGCGGCCGAGGGGTAAAGCCGCTTTTCCCAACAAGCCAGAAGGACACGATCGCGGCTGTGACGCCGCTGCCCGCGGCTCGAGCGGGACCTACCCAGGTAGAACCGGAGGAAGGGCGAGGGGGTCATGTTCCTGAACAGCATGATCTGCACCCAGGGGTTCTTGTACTGGATTTGGGGGATGTTGAAAAACACGAACTTTCTGGAAAAGATGAGAAAAGCACACAGGGGCTGGCGCGGTGTCTCCGCGGAGGACGCGGCCCACGCAAGCCCCGGTGTCTCTGGAAGGGCCGCCCGCGCTCCCGCCGCGCCCCGCGCTCACCTCGCGCCCTCGCTCAGCTCTCCTGCAGTGTTGTAGTTCACGGTCATCACTTTCACCGCGCTCTTGAACACGACGTCGCCCTGGCTGAGGTAGCGCAGGGTCCGCCGGACCGGGAACCGGCCCTTCATGGGCATCGCGGCGGCGGCCGGAAGGGGCGGCAGCGGCCCCGCGCGCCCCCTGGCGGGCGGCGCCCTCAGCGAGGACCGGGCCCGGGGCCGCCCTGGCGGAGCAGCAGGGGCTGCGCTGGCCCCGCCCCCCCCGGCGCTCGGTCCGCGCCCCCGGCAGGGCCGGGCCCTGCGGGACCCACAGCGGGTACGGCTGTGGGGCTGCTAAAACCCCTCTGTGCGAGATGAATTACAACTTTAGCAAACGCCTCCTCCTCCTAGAGCAGCTCCCTGGAGTCAGTAAAGTTCATGGGATTTCTCTTCTGTATCAGACCCGGTTACATCTCATAAAATAATCACAGTAGTGAAGGCAAAATCCTGTTTCTCCCTAAAAGATAGTAAATTATGTATTTGGCTTAGACAACTCCTGTTTAAGAGAAAATAGTGACCTTAAAAATAAAACTCAAGAATGCAGTTACATGTGTAATTCACTTTAATGGTATAAACCTCATTTAGCTAGTATTAACCACAATAATATAATGCCACATTTAAACAGCATTTAATAAAATGCATAAGCTATATCATGCACTGCAATACTCTATATACAAACACAACAATGCAAATTCCTCTTTGTGACTGAATACATTGATTAAATATAAAATTCAGATTAAAAAAAGAACATGCCATTATTTTAAAATGCTATCACACACAACAATGCTGATTTCACAGAAGCTGTGAGAAATTAACAACTTTTACAAAGTTTTTACCTTGAAATAAAAATAAAATAACATAAACATTAGTTATCTAAATTGTAATGAGCCAAGGTATCCAGAAAATATTCCAAGGAATTAAAAGTAGATGCTTCCTTTTATAAAAATTTGCTTTTTGTAGGAGCTCAGCACTCCCTGGTATGCCAAACAATGTGCCGTTTTCAGTCAGGAAACTGAACACTGGCTTGTAATGTACTTCAGAGCACAGAATAATTATTAAAAATATTCCAACATTTAACATTGATTCCATATATGAAAAATTTAACACATCCAGTCTGTAGGTAAAATGTTGTCTTCTTAAAGGCTGTTCGTTTGAAATTTACTCAGTCCTACTTTTAACCTATGATCATCAAAAATATCTTTAAATGGACCTGTGCTTTATTATTACAGAGCCTTTATTGCCACTACTTTTGAGAACATTTCATCTTTCAGAATCCAAACAATTCAAATGTGGATATAAAACAACTTGACAATTTTAAAATATGCACCTTTTTCTGAATTCAAAATTTGGTTTTTTAACAATCTTAGTTAATACCCCAATTAGCTTCCTAATCTTTAAAACTGTTCCTGCAGTACAAGATTAACAGACATTCAGGTTTCCATTCACCTTTAAAGAGGAAAGCAAGAGTTCAAACAGCACCAATTGTCCAGACCAATGAAGGATCACCTGTCACAGGAATTCCTGCCATTAATTTAAATATTTTTCCTGATGAAAATCGCAAAAATTAGGTTTTGAAACCTTACCCTTTTTTTCTAAATTTGAAACAAAAGCTTACAAACATTTATTGCCAGTACAGAAAAGAACGTTCGTAACATTTTCCACAGCAAAGACCTTTCAAGCACAAAGCCTGACTCAGACTTGTGATTCACTTTATAAAATAATGTGAGCATGCAAGAAGCTCACATTATTTTGACTGGTGTCTGCTTATCTGCCTAAACATACACAAGTCTTTGCCACATGGAGTACAGAAAGTGGAAAGAAATGCCCAGAAAAGTCTGCTTCACCTTTTTAATATGACAAAAACAAGACTTGCTGAACTCTGTACATGGTCTGTGAAATGCTTTTTTAAAACCCCACAGTTAATACATTTACTTTACAGAAGGCTCCCTTTGTAACTTTATCAGAAGGGAAAAACAAGAAGTATCTATATTTTGATAATGTAAATGTTTGAGTCCTCCTTATGAATAATAAACTGTCTTACTGCACAACTCATTTCACAACTGTGTGCTCAGGCCCCACATGGACAGTGGGAATGTCACATGCAGTGCAGGAGCTGAGCAGATTCCAGGCCGATCAAAGGACAGAACAAGGCCGTGGACATTACTCGGACAATTAAATCAAGTTTTGTTTAGTGTAAGCTGGAAAATAAAGAGAATAGCTTTGAAAAGTGAGTATACAATTGAAATTCACTGTCAAAATCCTGAATAAGTTTTAGTGCTTGCTAAGCAATAAACTACCTGCAATGTCTCTCCTATTTAATTACCACTGTCCCAGAGCTGCTGTTTCACTGAACAGAGCACTGAGTCTGTATTTAACTCACAGGCTGGTTTCATGTGATCACTATGGCAATATGAATATTGATTTGTTAAACAGCATTCATTGTCTCCTGTTCTGTGTGCTACACTTCAGCGATAAAGGGAAAGTTGGTTTGGTTTCAATTTGCCACTGCTAAAGGCTTAAAAAAGTATCAATCTCTTACCAAGCTTCACTGCAAAATGCAGCTTTACAAGAGAGTGTCTCAGGAGGCTGAAAGAGAAGGAGTGCGGATGGAAAGCAGAGAAGTATTTTCTATGACTGTAGTTATTTATTAATTATTTTTAACAGCCATTATATGCTCAATTAACTATTCACTCGGAGGCTTCTACAGGTCAAATGAGAAAAGGTAAAAGCCAGAAAATTCATGAAATACCTTTGTCAGTTCTGAGCAGAAAATACTGAATTCAGATTGGCTTAGAAAAAATCTGTAAAGCTCTGAAATTCAGGAGGGTTCATCTGCTTTGATGATAAGTTTATTTTGGGTTAAGAAATGCAAGCAAGCAAGCAAGGAAGCTCTGGATTAGCAAGTGAATGAAAAGCTTTAGCACATAGAATGCATGAATAGAGGCTCCACATCTGTACATATATACACAAACTAGGGGGGTTCTATACACTGTACAGAATATATTCAGGCAGAGGTATAAACATATACATTCATACACACATACATACAGCTATGTACATATGCATCAGCTGCTCGAGTGAGTTTTACAACTGAACATGGCGGAAATGCACAATGGTGGCAGGCACAAAACAAAGACATACAACTCTATGAAACTCTTTAAAAAGAAAGGAGACAGGCATGAATTTAACAATAGTAAGCGATTTTCAAAGCATTCATCTAACTTAGAGCATAGAACAGGCTGTGGGAATTATGGAACATTATGGCAGTATTACCTGTGATGAACTTAGCATGACTTCACAACAATAAACTCAGTAATAAGGTATTTCTGGGCTTTGATGTTTTCCAAGTCCAATATATTTAGAGCATCTAAAGTTTGCAAAAAAAATTACTTTAACTTGCAACCTCATTACAAATAAAGCTTTAAGTTTTTTTCAAAAATAATTCCCACTATAATGTTGATAACATTGATTGCAACTGAAGTAGGGTTGTAGAACTATCTAACAAAAGAGGGGTTAATGACATTTTTCATCAAACAATAAACCTGAACTTAGTTCAGGAATATTCACTGTTAAAATGACTCAGCAACTTCAGAATTAAAAGGTGCAAAAAGTAAATGTTTTAATTTTCTTCCCTGTGCCACACCCTCTTAGTAACTTTTTTCATATAAAGCTGTTTTTTAAACTAATTTTCTGTCACTCAAGATCGAGCAGATGCTGGCAATCTGTCCTCTGCTCATCCCTCTTCTCCCTAGGGTAACCATGGCCTCAGCAGGACTGCAGCTGTTGCGTTCTGCAGCTGTGTGGGACAGTGTGGTAAAGCCCTGAGACAGATGGGAACCTACCTGTGTTAGCTGGCATTTCTGCTTTTTCGCTTAGGGACAAGAGTAGGTGAAAAAAACCCCAACCTACCCTGGTTTTGCACTCTAAAGAGTAACTGGAGGGGAAGAGAGGGATTTCAAATGGAAAAATCAGGATTTTTTTTTCTTTTCAGGATATCATCCAGTAGGTATCTGCTGGTACACCTGTGCTGCACGTCTGACTGACCTGCCAGTTCCACTGCTCACAGCATCTGATTCCAACAGGGCCCTGCCTGGTGGTGGTGGTGGAGGAAGCTGCTTTGGCACTGCTTGGGCAGTATCCTCAGCACAGTAATTTCCACTTCCATCTTCCTGGCTAAACTGCATTCCCAATACCATTTGCTACTCATGCTATTTGGTGCCCCCCCCCCTTTTTTTTTTTTTATTATCTTACTAGTTAAGCAGCAGGTGATCAGGGAAGAATCCTAACTGTTGTCTTAATTTTAATAGGCAGGCAAAGCTACTGACACGTGCAATATCACAGCTGAAATCTTTCAGGAATCTGAGTCTTGTCTACTACATGCAACAATAAAAAAACACAGAAGTGTTTTACAGTTTCTGTCAAAGGAGAAACCAGAGTCAGGAAACTACTTTCACCTGGAAGCTTCAGTCTTGACTTGGTTTCTCTGTCACAGCCTCAGAACATGCCTTTGTCAAAGGAGATTGGAATGGCAATGCAGAGCCAGCTGGATTCTGCAGAGACCTTGAGTCAGAGCTCTCCACTGGAGCCAGTGTGGCTGCCTGGGGGGCCAGGGTCTTCCGAAGATGGTAAAAGGAGGCTTGGTAAATGATACCACGTAATCAGTGGAGACCAAAACTACTTTCTTGCCCCGGAGTGCTCTGAAAACTAGGCCTCTCTAATAATCTAACATTTTAAGGCAGCTAAAGCAAAGGCTTACATGATTCCTTAGAAGGATTTTTCCCTCAAGATAATTTTTTCCTCTTCTACCGGTTTCATGCCAGAGTAACTCCACTGACACCAAAAGCATTGCAGCTAATTTATAAAAAATGTAAATAGGCAGAGAAAGATGACTTTTACACATGGTGTTACTTGTGTGTTTCTCTAGTCCAATTTAAGTAAATAAAGGGAAGAAAAGTACTATACCTTCTTGCACTTGTCACAAATGCAATAAAAATCAGTATTATAAAGCTAGCCCACAATGCTTTTTACCTAGAAGATGCAAATCCAGTTTCTTCTCATAAGAGTTGGAAAACAAATGAAGCACACAGACAGTGGACATTATTGCCTCATTATCATTCTCTGAATGTCCCAGTTTCAGTCACCACAGAATTTTAACATTTGTCTGAATGAATTATGACTAATATACCCATTTGCTCAAGTTCAGATAAATCTAATCAGATAGTTTATCACTGTACTTCTACCAAGTTAAAATAATTTCAAGAGCTGCAGAAACAGGACCTCAAAAATTCTGGAGAAAGTGATTTTAAGGCACTAACTAGAGCTTCAGTGAGATTAACTTTTCTTAGAATCACTTTGCAGCTGTGATTTTGACTCCAAGTTTTACAAATACAAGTTTGGCATTTAAATTTGGCCTTTAGGAAAACAGGCTATTTCTATATTTAATAATCAAGAAACAGTTTTTCAATAATTGCTACAATAAAAAACTATTCCATATCCATAAGGAAATGTTTGCTCTTTCAAAGGAGAAACAAAACTAATTAATTTAAAAGTAAAGCTTCTAAGATTAGCCTGTTACCTTCTTTCAGTCACTGTAGAAGGGATGAAACAAAGCTCAGAAATTACAAGAACTACATCAGCCTTGTAGTACTTTGTGCAGAGACAGTGTAAAACTTGCCTGCAGATGTACTGTGTGCACTGTTCTACCCTCCTTATGTCAGAGCAGCCTGAAAGTGCAATCACCAGGAGAGGCTGAAAATAATGTTAAAGGTTAATACATAGAGCCCAAACAACTGAGGCTCAATTTCCTCAGATTTGCCTTTTCTATGGCTACCAAACAATGACTATACTGTTGGCAGAAAGAGTTCCTTCACCAGTTCTGTGCCTTTTGAAGATCTATCTTCTGATAGATGTATAAGGAAAAGATTTCTTTGAGCAAGCTAAAATAGCTCCACTGCTACGTAACACCCAGATCACCACTAGATTGGCAGCTCCACTGCTTGATGCACCACCAGGTCCCGCTGCCAAAGAGGCATTGCGACAGGCTGGAGGAATCGGCTGACAGGAACCTCAGGAAGTTCAAAGAGGGGAAGCACAAAGTCCTATCTCTGGTGAGGAACAAGCCCAGGAACCCACATATGCTGGAAAGCAGGTCAGCAGAAAAGGACCTGCAGGACCCAGGGGACACCAAACTCAACATTAGTCAGGAATGCTCCCTTGCTCTGCTGAAGGCTAATGGTGTCCTGAGCTGCATCAGGCAGAACACTGCCAGCAGGTTGAGGGAGGGGATCCTCCCCCTCTACTCAATACTGGTGGGGCCACGCCTGGAACGCTCTGTCTGTACAACAGAGATAGGGACACACTACTGCAAAGAGTTCAAAGAAATGATGATAAGGGACTGGAGCATCTCTCCTGTGAGGAAAGGCTGAGAATGCTGGGAATGTTCAACCTGGAGAAGGCTCAGGGAGGATCTCATCTATGTCTACAAGTAGCTGGAGGGTACAAAGAAGATGGAGCCAGGCTCTTCTCAGGGGTGCCCAGTGATAGGACCAGAGGCAGTGGCCACAGACTGAAACACAGGAGGTTCCCTCAAAGAGCAGCAAACACTATTAAATGCATGCACAATAAATAAAACCTACCTATGACTGCATGGTTGTTACTCAATTTACAAAAATGAACATTTTATCCCTAACAAGCAGGGAACTATTTGCGGAGTGACTACCAGAGTTTGATCAAGGAGATCATTATGTGGACTTGCATTTGTGGGGAGTGTAGTTTATTTGTTATCAGAGCTGCATGATACTTACCATTTTGGTTTACAAATGCAATGCAAGGCATATATTTTAAATTTTATTTCATGTGAATCCCTCTGTTCCCCCCAAAAATTGTACTGCCTTTGTTTGCTGAACTGTTATGATCCCAGCACAAGTAACAGAAATTAGGAAAATGTTTTTGTATAGAAAATGAGGCCCTTTTACTTGAAAAATCAGAAGTTGAAATCATGTTTGTAAAGAAAAAGCCATCTGGTGTGCATTTAGATTTAAAAACAAATATTCTGATGGCTAATTTTTGTGCTAAAGAATATTTCATTTGCCATTAACAATGCTTACTTATCTGCTTAAATGATTTTTATGAAATACTGAAAGCAAATCAAACTCCATAATCTCCTTTTTTGCAATGAAAAATATCACAATAGTTCAATGCATTCTGCTTTTAGAACAATGACATGACCTAATAAAATTTTTTAACAAAAACAGCCCCAACTCCTTCCAAGGCAGGTGCTACTTCTGATGTTAATACCACCACTGATTTTTAAGCTGTGTACCCTTAACACAGGGACTGTACATCAGAAGTTCTGACGCAATCCCACCAGCAAGGACACTACAATCAAATGGTTGGTACTCAATTCTGCAGTCCAGCTAACTTCACATGCAGAGGACAGATTTTGCCATCACATTAGTAACATGACAGTTTTATTTGCTATAGCAAAAGCCAAGAGAAATAAAAGTGCAATGTTACAAATCTCTGCATGTATACTGGACTGTTTGTAACACCCTTCTGAGAAGACTCTGAATGCACTAACAATGGTAACTGTAAAAGACATTAATACATCCAGAGGCTAAAATTAAATAGCCTTCTTTCCAGTGAGTGCTACAAATGTGAGCATGAAGTATACCAGGTCAGGACGTTTTATTACTTCAGAAGCCTCGTTTAGAGCTGCTTAAGATCTTTTGGCTCCAATTCAGACTCTGAAAAGAGACAAACACCAACCTGGGGTGATGTTTCTAAATAAATATAAGTAACAGAAGAAAAACAAAAGTGCTGAACGTATCATGAGATTTCTGTCACATAAAACTACAAAAGTAAACATGCCTCTACAATACAAATAATTAAAATAATTGATGAAAGTAGTCCATTTTATAACTCCATAGTATATCAGTCATTAACTGCAATTGTACATGACTGAGAGTAAATCCTAACTGTATTTTGGTTTGAAACTGAGTCACAGGAAGGTCGAGAGCACTGCAAAACTGGCAGCGCTCAGTGAGGGTGGCAGAAAGAGGTGGGGAGTTAATAAAGTAAGAGAGCTTTGTAATATATTCTTGCTGACAGCCACAGGTTCTACACATTTCAGGTTTTATTTTGTACCTGTGGCTGGATGATGAGGGCGTTCAGGAGTACAGAGAGCAGGAGTAAATTTGGAAATACAAAGAGCATACTCAAAAAGCATACTCAATCACACAGCTCTACTTGAAAATTATTTTTCTTCCAGTTAATGACTGATTTTCCCCACAGTCAAAAGGCTTCAGTTTAGAATAACATTTGTCATGACTGTGTTGGTCTGAATATACACTTTAAGGAACCTGAGTATTTCATCATTACTGTGGCAGGAAACACTTTTTTTTCTCCTGGTGTGGGGTAATTCCTGTAGCACATAATAGGTACTATGACTGCATTGTACTATAAATTACAACTGCACTAATTTAACAGTTTATAGTTTCATATAATGTGGATATCTGATTTAAGAATCCACATTAATACTTCATGCATAACGTAAGAGCAAGTGACTCTTTGCAGATAAATGATTGTCTCCTGTAGCATTCTACATTTTCACAAAAATCACTGGCATTTTGACTAAGGACAAGCATTTTTTTCATTTCCCATACTTATAAGCAGGATGTTGATGATACTGTCACTTTGACAAGAAATGATTACAAAGTGCTAGTATTATACCCTGGCATTTACTAGACATTAATTCCAAGGATATTTTTAAATATATACATACTGTTCT